CTAAAAGAATATGTAAAATTATTAAAGGAAGGAAGCTCTTCATTGTGATCCACATCAGTGAAAATTAAACCATACTTTTAATTTTCTCACCCAATTCAGAAAAATGAAAACTTCATCCATCTAAATGCCAACAGATCAGAGACTGGTCCAAAATTTAGGACTACAAATTGTCGGTCAAATCCTGAACAGACAAAACTCTGCACGGCTTATGAGACCTGACAGTGTCCCTGCTTAGGGTGATAAGGCTCCAGGCATTGTGTACACTTAGACACTGGAAGCAGAGAAAGCACTGACAGAGTGACAGCTCATCTATGCTAAAGCCATCCACTTTTTTTTTTAAGATATGGAGAAACTACAAATAAAAAAGATATGGAGAAACTGGAAGTAGAATCCTTTTAAATTTTAGATACATATGTAGAACAACTGTACTGCAATTATTTGCATGTGATATTTTCCCTTGGTAAGTACATTTGAAAGCATTATTAATGTATTGAGACCAATATGAAAGAGCTGTCCCCTTTATAAACAGAGCTTGTAGAAATCCACAAGATAATTCGCATTACTGTTACAATTATTTGAAAGCTAGATTAGGAATTTTATAAATTCACTTGTTAATTAAAATTGCAATTTAGAAGAAAAACATTTAAGTTACAAAGATAAAAATTTTAAAATTGCAAATGTTTATTTTAAAGAAGAACACACAAAATTGCATATCAACAATATAAAAAGCACCACAGAGTAAATATTTTGCAAAAATATTAGGACCTTTTACATACTATCTATAGAATGCTAGCTCATAGGAGTATTTCAGTCCATTCTGGGAACTAGAGGATAAAAACATAAATAATTGCAGGAGTCATTTAATACTTCTTGAGATTAAAATAGATACTTTGATATCTATAAATCACTTTCACCTTAGTAGTAGAGATAACAAGTTACAGGCTCAGAATTCAGGGCAGAATGAAGCAACTGTGCTAATCTTAGGGTTACACTGAACACATTCGTCTCTCTCCCACCCTTGCCCTCTCCCACAATCAATCCACCCTTTTCCCAGTCACAACTCTTCTGGCTCTGAAACTTCATCAATTCACACTAATGTGCAGCCTCTTCAGACATCCCCATGTCTAACCTCCTGAGCCGTCGGTGGCATTGGTGAGACTCTTCCTATCTTCATGACTATCCACATCTCATTTAGATTTAATACTAGGTCACTTCAACCATTCTCAAAACCAAAAGAAAACAAACAGAACCTGAGAAATGCCAACCCTGTTAGTTCAAACTCATGCATGCAGCTGAAAGATGCTAGACAGACATACGCAACCATGCAAATCATTGCTACAGTGAGACTTTTACATCAACCTCCCAGGAGCCAGCAGCCTTACTTGGCAATTTTTCCAGATTCCTTTAGTCAGATCTCTCCTGTTTACCACAACAAACATATCCAAGCTTTTTTTTACTAAGTTTAATCCTCCTGCTTCATTATCTCCAATGTCTTCTTATGTTCTTTCTGTTTTAGCAGATAATCTTACCACCTACTTCTTCAGGAAAGAACAATATATTTTTGAACTATTCCTTTAGCTTCTTAACACCAAACACAAACACTTGCTTCTAAACATTGCATTTTCTCCTTCCCCCTTCCTCATCACTCTGGAAAATGACATCCACTATGCTTAAGATTAATAATTCCACCTAATTCTGGATCCAATTTTCTTTTTTTTTCTTCTTTCTGGGTTTATATCAGTGCTAAACATTCTTCATCTTTTCCTCCCTCAGGCTTTGTCTGTGAGTGTTCAAGTATTCTCAAATCTCTTACATTCTAAAAATTCTCCCTTTCACTTTTGCAAAACTATTTATCACCTAACCATGTTAACTTCTTCATCCTTCTTTTTACTTTTCTCTTGCTGTTTAAATATATAGTATTACCATTCCACTGAAGTTTCTCTCATTAATGAGAAACAACTGCATCTGTTGATATACTGGGCATGGTTCTAGATCAGAGATGGGAAATCTTTTAGTGCTTTTAATGATAACAAACAGCCAGCTGCAGCACATGTGCCATAGGTTTGCCACTGCTGCTCTAGACATTACATTATTAATTCATTTAGGTTAGGTCAGCATAACTTTTGGATCCAAATCTGACAAAAAGACAAGCTCAAGCAGCCCTTATCATAAATATCAATGTAAAAACTTTAAGCAGGATGACAGTACATCAAATCATTGTATATAAACATAAATATATATACAGTTAATTTTATATAAAACTTATATATGTCTTAGGCCTGGATGGAACTTCTGCAATCTGATCAAAGTTAATAAAAGGAAAAGAAAAAACATTACATTTTTAGTATAATGTTGAAATCATTTTCTTTGAGATTAACAATCCAAAGATACCTTCTACTATCATTCTCCCTCATTATTTTCCTAAGAAGAAATAATAGATGTAAAACCACAATAGAAGAAATAAAGATGCTCATGTTTTCTTGGTTATGGGGGTTGAATCTTAGGCCATCACGCTGAGCTATATCATGGCCCTTTTAAATTTTTTATTTTGAGACAGGGTCTGGCTAATTGGCTGAGTGGCCTAGGCTCGGTTCAGACTTGTGACCCCCTTGCCTCAGCCTCTCAGAAGAAACTCTAACTACAGATAATATGACAATTTGTAGCAAATATGCAAGAACCTTCACATAAGATTTCAAAATTAAAATGGGGAACAAGATAGCTGGATATAAAATATCAGTTATTCGCATATATTAGAAATAAACAGAAAATAAAAATTTTAAAAGTAACTTTTGATATTCACCAAATGTGAAAGTATTCATGAATATAAGTTAAATGAACAACAAAAAAACTCAAACTAAATGAAAATATGGATGTATAACAAAAACACATACAGGCAGAAAGAAGATACAAATGACTACTAGATACCACATTATCTGTTTGGAAACTATCTCTGTTGTTAAAAAGAAGTGATTTTTGGGGTGATAGGAATCTTCTATAATTTGATCTGGATTAGGAAAGCAGTTATTGAAAATCACCATAAAATTTAAATTGTCTTTACATTTCAAGGAAACAAACATGATACTACAATGAATCATGAAATTTTCCTCTTTTCTCACTCCATATATTAAAAATTCCAGTTAGACAGAAGACCTCAAACTAAAAGACAAAACCATAAATGTGTTGGAAGATAACTGAGAATATATTTTATGACTTTGAGGACAGGAAATGATTTCTTCAGTAACAAAAAACCATCAATAATCATATAGTAGAAAATTAATAATTTCACTAAATTTAAAGAGTTATAAAGGTATGAATATAAAATCTTGAGCCAGGAAAGGACTAGTATTCAGTATTTATATCTATCTATATATATTTAGCTCTTAAAAATAAATAAATTTATTTCTCCCCAAAATGCCAAACACCTTGAATGGACAACTCACTCAAAAAGAAATCTGAACATCCAGAATATATAGGAAAAGATTTAAGAACTTTCCTATAATCACAGAAATGCAAATTAAAGCTACAAGGATATATTTTAATAGCAAAAATTAATTAAAAAATTAGAAATCTGACAAATCCAAGATTTGAGTAGAATGTGAAACTCCTGGATAAAACAAACAAACAAACAAACAGTGTTTAAGTAAAATAGCATATATATCCAAGAGGCTATGCTCAAAAATGATTATAATCACACTGCTTGTAGTAGTCTGAAAATGGAAACTAAAGTGTGACACATTTATATAGCAGAAAACAATACACCAGTAGCAATTAATAAACTGCAATGAAGATGAATAATACAGACATAGTTTTGAACAGAAGCAAGAAAAATAATGCATGCCATACTGACTTTATACACAAGCTCAAATATTGGCAAAACAAGGATGCAAACATAGGTGATAAAACATAGAAAGTAATAAACTGATTATGATAAAATTCTTATGATAAGATTACACTATGAAAAGAGTAAGAGTGGCACGTGATCAGAAAGAAGCACAGGAAGATGTTTAAGATGTTCGGTGTGTTCTCTTTCTAGACCAAAGTAAAGTCTGTTTTTTAAAAAATAATTCACTAACCCATCTTATGCTCTACGCAGTTTTCTATTTGTTTGCTATTCTTTACTATAAAGCAAAAATTAAAATACATTAAGATAGGTTCAACTCAGTATAAATTTATGTACTGAAAAGTTTTTATTGCTGATACTAGCAACTCCTGGTTTCTTTTGTGTAGATTTTTCTGCATCTTCCAAACACCTATTGGAGAACTGCTGACTCTCAGTGCAGTCAGCTGCTATGCTTAGAAATGTATACTTATAAGCTCTTATGCAAACTTGATTACCTTAGGTTTTCCCCACCAAAAGTATATAAAAATGGAAAATCCTAAAGTCACTCTTCTAAGGGTTCTTATATTTCTTCTTGAGAAAGTTATTTTCCCAGTATTTCATGAAACATGCTTTATTGGTACTTAACTGTTTCTTATATGTGATCTGTAGTATATAACAAGAGCTAATTTCCTGAAAGTATTTTCTGCTTATTACATGCATAAAAGGTGAAATACTCTGATGTCACATTCTATAGTACACTTTCTGTCCTACTATATGAAATTTACCCAAGCTCTTATTCTGTTTTTTTGTACATGTTACAAGTTAAAAAGTATCTAGGCATTATATAAATATTAAATTCACTACATTATGAAAATTATAATAAATAAAAGATAATACCAGTTGACTAGGTGCACATCATATTACTTTTTCTTCCTTTAAATTATTCTAAGACCGAGATAATTTATTGCTTAATACTTCAGGCAAGCATGTAAGAGCATTTCAATGCCTAATTTCCACTCTTTCTCTGTCTCCTTCCCTGCTTCTCTCCCTGCCTCTCCACTTTTTTTTCTAACTACTATATGAACTTCAATGTACTATGATCACATTACACACAGAGCAACCAACCAAAGCCGTAAATAGCACAGGAAAAAACCATATTTATAAGTGGGTCTTGGCTTACTTTGCGAACACCTCTGCCAAGCTCTTCTCCATAGTTGGTTCCAAGAATTTCAAAATGGACATTAGGATTACCTCCATTTTCTCCAAATTCTAGCTCTCCAGTCAAGCCATTAACTCCACCCTAAAAGAGAGAACAGATAGTCCTGTAAAATTTCAGAAAAAGTAAAAAGAAATAAAGAAATACAGAAATAAAAAAAGAAAAAAGGAAGGAGAAAGAAAGAAAAGAAAAGAAAAAAAGAAAGAGAAAAGAATGTGAGAGGAAGTTCTCGGAACTCTCCATCTATAAAATAAACATTTCAAGTATGCAATTATTAACAGGTTATTTTTAAGAGGTAAAGAGCATGAAGAGTACAATTGAAAGTAATCTTGGCCGGGGATTTAGCTCAGTGGTTCCGGCGCCTGCCTTGGAGCAAGGTCCCGAGTTCAATCCCCGAAACCAAAAAAAAAAAAAAAGAAAGTAACCTTGGAAATCACTTAAGCCTATCTCAACCACTTGTCCTACAGTCAGGAAAACAGACCCACCAATCAAATAACTGCGCACAATGACACCATGTTGCTGCTGAAACTAAATTCCAGGCTAGAGATTTTGCCGCCTTATCTGTGGCTTGCCTGAATACATTAGTTAAAACACAAGATGCTACTGGAGAGCATCTAAATCTACTCTGGAGACAAATTTTGATAATATAGTTTATTTTTCTCCATTCAGATTTGATCTAAAATTATACCTGGAAATTTTAAAATCTCTTTTATAAATTATTGGGATTCATTTTCCTTTTCTGTAAATATTTTCCAAATCACAACAATAATGTACTGCACACCTTAAAAAGCTAGAAGAAAGGCTTTTGAATGTTTTTATCATAAATGACAAATGTTTGAGGAAATAGATATGTTTAACCTGACTTAAACGTTATACAATATTTAAAGCAAAATGGCAAAACACCATAAGATGCCCCATTAATATGCACAATTTTAGATTTTTATGTATCAGTTAAGAGAATAGACAATAAAATTGTAAATATGAGCCAAGTGTGGTGATGAACGCCTATAATCCCAGCACTCAGGAGGCTGAGGCAGGAGGATTGCCATGAGTTCAAGGCCAGCATGGGCTACATAGTGAGTCCAAGGCTAGCTGAACTAGACCCTGTCTCAAAAAACTCAAAAAAAAAAAGTATATATATATATATATATATATTCTTTTATATATATATAAAGTATGTATACTTCATATATATATATATATAGAGAGAGAGAGAGAGAGAGCTAAATTAGGCTTGAAAACTGTTTTTGTTCTTAACTGATAGTGGTAGCTTTGAGAATTCCTGGGAATTTCCAAGCTTCATCTTTCATTCAACATGACAGATGTTCATTTCCCCAACAGATGGCAATGTAGGTCATACATACTTCTTTCTTGTTTACCATTCTTTCCTCACTTTAGTTTATCAGCCTCCATATTATTTTGGATTTTTCAACATCACATTCTGAGTCATTTCAATGTTAAAGTCTATCTGATTGAGAATTTTGGCCTAATAATGACATGAATTTGGACAAGAAATTCTCTCACTCTGTAACTTGCTTCAGTCATCACTTCTACGATGCTGATGCTGAAACATATCTGATTTGTCATAACCTGTAACTCCATTTCTAGTCTTTTGGCTAGCATTATGCTGTCTGCTCTATCCCCTACTTCATCATGCCTTCTGGGCTCTCATATGATACTAATGTCACAAAAGAACTTAACGAAGCCACTATGGGTGGATGTTTTACTACTTTAACTATACATTGCAATATTTAATCTATTTCATTTTGCAATGGTTATAATTAATCAAATTAATCCTCTTATATTTTTAATCAGCTTCTTTATTATCCAGTTTTGTTGATAACAAAATAGGTTGACTTTGATGCCTGTCCCCTTTTCATATTTGATTTAGCAGTCAAAAGAAGAGATCATACTTCCTGGACTGCACCCATAGCATCAGAGCTCCTAGCTATGTACATCTGGCTGTCACTTAATTTCTTTGTGCCTGAAATTCTATTTGTGATAAATGAGAAAGATAATAATACTTATCCATCAGATGATGATTATGATGATAGTATAATATAGGTAAAGGATATAGAAGAGTGTTTGACATATTGTGAGAGGTTATTTACTTTTTTCGTAGTACATGTTTGCAGTGCATAATGCTTACATTCATCATGGGGAGATTATTTACTATCATTATCATTACCTGTATTTTAATTTCATTTTTTAATTTTTGAGGCTTTCTCATTTTATACATTACAAGCATAGTATTAGGTTTTTTTCATTTAAAGTTTATTTGGTTTGCAAAAACTCATTCTATGCATGAATATTCAGATGGCCGTGGAAGATGTTTTTGGAAATATCAACTCATTTGCATCTCATTCATTACTACTTGGGGAGAAAAGTGTCAAAATAACTTGTCTCAGATCTGTTCACTCCTTTTTAAAGTGTGTATTTAGGTGTATATGGGGGTAAGTAGGTCTAATGTCCTTGTCGACTATAAATGCAGGTACACAGAGTAGTAATGTTTACTAAGAGAAAAAGTCTTTTTGTATAGAAAATCCTTAGCAGGCTATACCAGGATAAGGTATTATTGTTGTAAATCAGCCTAGGACCTCTGGTTTAATGGTTTGTGGCTCTCTGGAAGTGTCCTGAAGCTTTATGTTTTCTAGGATAAAAATTGAGATATTTCATAATGTGCATGCTTCTTACTATGGAAAGTAAACTTGCAAAATCTTTCTTGGAAATGGAATGTGTACATCCAATATGGAAAAGATGGACCTGGCTAGCCATGCAGAATGTGTTATGCTCTCTTGCCTTTATCTGTACTCCTCACTTGCCTGTATCTTCAATATAGGGAACATATCCAATTCTCACAAATAAATTCCAACCAATGTGTTAGTTCAGTACACCTCAGTATCACTCAAGATTTAAAGACTGAATTAAGAAGAGTGGACTTTATTAGTACTTGCCTCCAAAGGTAAATACTGTAGGAGTTTGGCTGTCAAATGTAGTTTATTCTACTGCATGTAAATTCAAACTTCTGAAACCTAGGATTCTTTTTATAAGGGGTTTTGTTGTCCTCAATCACACATCTACCCCAATAATATATCCTAATTATATCATAGTCTTAACTGTTTGTTTTAGTATTTTATTTGTAGGGAAAAAGAAAGGACTGTATATTGAAAAATACTATACTCTGAAATTTTTAAACATTTGAATATTGGCCTGTCTTCTGCTATTTTCTTATTTTTTATTCCAAATTATTACTCATATGGCCACCATGGGCCAGGTCTTCTTCCCTAGCTAATATTCAGCCACTGAGTGACTTAGTGGATTGACACTGCACAAGATACAACAACAATAAATCAGGGAAGTTGCACTTAGTTTGCTGCAGCTTTGCTTACTTTTTTCCCCTTTTTGTCTTTGTAATTTATCTTCTTTATGCTATATTCTTAATGAGCTGTCGGCTGCACAATCAGGGAAATCTGCCCTCACGGAGGTGTCAGGGAAGCTTGAGAGGTTGACATTTTAAGCAAATAAAGCCTCTAAGTGAAGCCCCAGGTTACCTCACCCAGATTTAACCTCTCTGATTTCTGATCGCTTTAGAAAATTCCAGTGCTTTTGAGTCTTTTGTTTTGTTTTTTCACTTATCCTCGGATTAACCTTGAAAAGAGAGCTGTGGCAAAAATGTATGCTGGTCAGGTGGTAATGAATGGTCATTATCTTTGAGCATGCATGGGTGTATTTTTTATCTCTTGGTGATGCAGCACATTCTAAACAAAATAAGCTAATGAGACATTGATAGACTGAATAACACACACAAATAATTTCCAAATGTCCTCTAAATTTGACAGGAAAAATTGTTGCTAAAGTAAACCTTTTTAAAAATACCAAATAAATTAATTTGGATTTATCCTATTCATTTAATATAAAATACTAGTGGGCACCAAATGCAGAGTGCAAGGAGAAGAAAAATAAAAAAGAGAGAACCAAAGGTTGGGGATAATTTATCACAAAAGGTCAGATAATAAGTTTCTTAAAGGCCAAAGTGTTTTGTTCCCTATGGAAAAAATAAATTGGAAAACAGTGAAAAATGCTTACTAAGACTTTATTTCACTGTTTATAAGGTTGAAGAATCCTTTCCTATATAGTAAAACCTTGAACTATGAGTAATTTGTTTTGTGAGTGTGCTGTAAGATGAGAAAATATTTCTAATAAATTTTAACTTGATAAACGAGCTAAATTTTTCAATACCAGTACTACATGATGCTGAAAGTCACATGATCACAACTGAGTCAGTGCCCCCCCGCATCTTTCGCTGCAGGATTATGGGTGATCTCCCAACAGCAAGAGGTTATGGAGAAGATTCTGTTTAAAAAAGAGAAGGAGAAAAAGGCAGAGGAATTGCTCAATTCAAATGAGATTAGGGCGATGTGTAAAATGTGGGAAGGAGTGCAAAATTTCATAGAAAAGCACCACCCCAATAAGGCTGTAGCTGTGCAAGGGATGAATTGGTTTAATCACAATGCAGTGTCACATTTCTGTGAAATCCTCAAAAGGAGACAAAAGTAAGGGTCAGTGGAGAGCTTCCATGTTAAAGTTCCATGAAAAGAAAAGGATTCCATTAAGCCAATATAGCAGTCATTCTGTTAGCCATAGTGAAAGTCATCCCACACAATGACCCTCCTCTCTCTTGTCTCCCTCACACTAGTGATGAAGGTTCACAAAGTTAAGTGCAGGTTAATTTAGTAATTTTTATACTTTGTATTTTCTTTATTATTTTTTATTATATAATAGTATTTTAATCACTTTTATATGAATATTTTTAGGTTATAGAATGAACAGTTCTATAATTAAAAATAGGCTGTCCATGTTGCCGGGGGCTGATACCAATCCATTATCTATGAGGAAGAAGGTACATAGTTCTCTACTGGTTAAATTAATTTCTAGATGTTCCAGGGAAGTGGTTTTCAATTATGATTCTCGGAAGTGACTGTGGTGGGGTCGATCTCTGGAGCTCCTTTCCCAGCTCCCAGAGCAGCCCAACTTCTACAGATTTTACTTACTTAGTTAAAACAGTCTGAAAGCTTGCTCTAGGT